TCCTTCAGTCCAGCTTGTCTTATTTATCCCTCCACCCCACAGTCTGCTCAGCATCTGGCATATGGGTATGCTCAATGAAAAATGGCAGAATTAAATGAAAGTCAAGTTGACGAGGTGAGGCTGATGTTAAGGGATAGGGTGGCATGGGGTGTGAAATTATGGGCTGTGGGGTAGGAAGAAGACATCGTTGTATACCTTTGTTAGGTAGATATTTTGCCCCGTACATGCATTTGAAAATCAACAAAAATAACAACCTAAATAAGAAAGGGAGATAATGAGGGGTCAGATCTATCTATTAATAAAATAAGTTTGAGTTTTTTAAAAATGGGAATTAAAGTTCATGAGTTCATGGGAATTTTTAAATTATCTTATTTTTTCCCTAAACTATATTACTGCATCTCATACATTTCACAGCAGTCTTGTATTCAGTCTCAACTCTGATTTAAAGTGGTAAAATAGAAGTTTAAAATTCCCTCAAGAGGTAAACCCTTACCTGGTTAAGCTTTATGTTAAGTAATGTTTCTGTTTGTCCAGTGACCTGTTCTTACTGAAAGACTCTTGTTAAGAGAAGCCCTTTAGCACCGACTTTCTCAAACTTGCCATAAGTAATGACCTCTTTAAAAGAAAACATATGGAATGTATTTGTCATGTTACTTAAATTATATAGCTATGAAACTAGATATAAAATTTTTATTTTTGGCTCATTTAAAACTATAAACCAAGCCTGCAAATTAAATACAAAGACAACTACACAACTAACAGATTTCAAGTTAATATTGTTATTCAGTGTGACAGGTGATGTTTAGGTTTCACAGTAGAAAAAAAAAGAGCCTTAGGTCTCATTCCATTTTAAATCTGTTTCTGTATTTTAACTTCAGTGATACTAAAAGCTGCAAGTACCCATTCTAAGTAATGTTGTGCAAGGTGCTATTAATGACTTCAGGCTTTGTTTGTAAGTTCAGGATTGTCAGACCTCATATCTAACCAAAACACTTGCCAGCAAGCATTCCTCAAATACCAATTTTAATGAGATGTCAGCTGTGGTGTTCATTTGAAGATGAGGTTAACATTATGTCATTACTGAAATCTTTATTAAATGGTTCTCTACACTAGCTCATGCTGGAAGTGGGAATGGAAAAATGTCACCGGATACTTCAACCGCATTTACTTCTGATCAACTTTTGCAATTGTACTACAAAGATAGGATCCATGTAATTATGGTAGCATATATATGGTATTAGCTTTGAATATACCATGCCTGTCTTATCATATGCTGTGATGATTCTAGATTCCTTTATTTTTCACTGTTGGTTACAGTTACTGTGAGAGCTTTGCTTATACAGAGTGCCATTAGGACATTTGGCCTAAAGAAGATTTTAACAGAACTGAAGAAGCATCAGTGAAAGCCTTCTGACAGTATTTGTTTAGATTGTGGTTACTTAGCATTTTTATCATTCATTTTAGATTATCTTATTTATTTAGATTATCTTTTAAATGAAAACATTAGCAAAATTTTGTACACAATTCTTAGACTCCCCTTCTCCTAACATACTTGTGACCTCCTGTTTGGGAAACACTTGTTTTAGCATACATTTTTCTGATCACCAAGTTCAGGATTCAATGGTGGGAAAATAAATTAAAAAAAACTTGGCCCTTCTTAGTGTAATGAGAGACACTTTAACAGCAAACTATAAATAGATTGATTTGTTCTATCTGAAAGGTATACAAAGAGCACTATGGGAACATATTTTAAGGACCTGCCACTTACATTAAGAGTAGGGGAGAGTTTAGAGCCTATCATGCAAAAGATCTTGTTTGAACTAGGCATAGAGATAGTATGTGTAAAGACCATGGCCCTGAAAGACATGATTGTTATAATGGTAAGAAGCATGAGGCCCTAGATTGCATTTGTAATGTGAGTGGTAAGTTGGACCCCAAAAGTAAAAGTCTTAATTGTTAGGCCAGGTGTTTAGGTCTCATTTCATATATGCTAAGGGAGAAGATGAAGATCTTAGAACTGAGAGGATATTCATGACAGTATTTATATATATATATATAGCAATTACCACATTGTATCATGTATTACTAATCACTTATATATTAATAATTAATATAATAATATTATTAATTCTGTATTAATAATTGTGTGTTAATTAAGTGATGTATCAATTAACAAAGCCTCCTTCTGTAGGCCTTGGAGCTCTTCAAGGGTTGTGACCATGTATACCAATCTTTGTACACTAAGCTTTTGGCACAGTAACTGATAAGAATAATGATTAGAAAATATTGGGGCACCTGGGTGGCTCAGTGGGTTAAGCCGCTGCCTTCGGCTCAGGTCATGATCTCAGGGTCCTGGGATCGAGTCCCGGATCGGGCTCTCTGCTCAGCGGGGAGCCTGCTTCCCTCTCTCTCTCTCTGCCTGCCTTTCCATCTACTTGTGATCTCTCTCTGCCAAATAAATAAATAAATAAAATCTTAAAAAAAAAAAAGAAAATATTGGTTGACTAACCACAAGTAAAGGGGATTCAGGAGAGAATGATGATAATCTCCTATGGTGGTGGTTTTAATCTTTGGTGGGTGATAGACCCCTTTGTGATTCTCTTGAAAGCTATGAACCTTCAAAATGCAAATACATACAACATTTGACAGTTTCATGGCATTCATGTATCCCTAAAACCAGTCCATGGGTTTCTGATTCAGAATTCCTCTTTAGGGAATTGAACCTATAATAATCACCCCTAAACCTCACCATGAATAACCACCATCTCTTTTAATAATCTTTATATGTTAATATGATTTCACTTGTGGAATTTAAGAAACAAAACAGATGAACATAGGGGAAGGGAAGGAAAAATAAAATAAGATGAAAACAGAGGCTGGCAAACCATAAGAGACTCTTAACTCTAGGAAAAAAACTGAGGGTTGCTGGAGGGGGGGGGGGGGGGGGGGTTGGGGTAACTGAGTGATTGGCATGAAGGAGGACTCTTGATGTAATGAGCACTGGATGTTATATGCAACTGATGAATCACTAAATCACCTCTGAAGCTACCAATTTACTGTATGTTAACTAAATAGAATTTAAATAACAAAATTGAAAAAATTAAATAATTTGTAAATGTTAAACTATGATTGTGTCTTTTTAAATACTCATTTTGAGTTCTTACTGTGTTTGGGAGGAGTTAATTCAAACAGTTGAACGTCTAAGAAGAAAGAACAAATTTTTTTTTTAATAATGATTAAGGTAAAACTTTGCTGGTCTGTAAAGGTAATAAACAAGTATATTAATTAATCCAGCAACCAAGAATCCCTTCCTCAAGGGATCCTGACATTCCTGAATTTGGGTTTAGCAAGTGAGGTAAGGTCCCCAACACCACCCTCAGGCTGAGTGATTTGCCAGAAGGACTCCATGAAGGACTCCAGAAGGACTCATGGGACTCAGAAAAGCTGTACTCCTGGTTATGGTTTATTACAGTGGGAAAGATACATATTAAATTATCAAAAGGAAAAGGCAAATCCCAGGAGAAACCAGATGCCGGCTTCCAAGTGTCCTCAGCCTGTGCAGTAGCACAGGTACATGCCATAGCTCAGCAACAGTGTGACCGCACATGCACGGTGTTGCCAGCCTGGGAAGCTCAGCAGAGCCTTCGTGCCCAGTGGTTTTATTGGAGCTCAGTCACACAGGCTTGTGACTCCATTCTTATCATGGAGAGTATTTCAAGGGCTCAGAGCTCATTTCCTAGGGACTGGCCAAGGGCTAGGCCTGAAAACAGGTCTTTCTTGAGAATGTGCAGGATTTGAGCAACTCAACCCTGCTGAGTTAACCCTTCCTGCACAGCAAGTTAGCTGTGCAGAGAGCTAGCTTTCTTCTGGCCTGCCTGCCGAGCTGTTCTTTTTCTAAATACACAGTCTTTGTGGACCTCCTTGGTCTCATCCTAAGTAGCCATTCTGTATACTACATTACCTGAACTGTAACTTTTTCCTCTCCAAAAAGTAATTGGCAAGTTTCTTTGCACTTAAGGACTACCTGTGTTTTGCAGTTTCATGAGATTGTAAGTACCCATTCTATCATTGATTTAACAAAAAAATTTTTTTGAATGCTGGTTTTTACCAGGCCTCATGTTAAATATCGATTTACAGAAATGATTACTATGGATCTTGCACTTTCATAGTGGAGAGAAAAAACTAGCAATTCTGGTAAGCAGTGTGTGCTTTGGACAGCATTTTGCCTCATTGGAGAACATGGTGGAGAGGGTGTCCGTGTGTCTGTGTATATTGGAAGGTGTTGGTAAGTAGGGGAAGACTTCCCGAAAGGAGTCACCTCTTGAGCCACGAAGATCAAAAGATACAAGTGGTCATGGAGCATTGTGTTTCTCCAGTGTATGGGTGGGTGTGTGATTGGAGCATTTATGTATTACTGGTGCAGTCTTCTTGGCTTACTGAGCAAGTACACTAATCCTAGCTAGAAGATGTAGGTGCTTCCTAGCGTTTGCACAAAAGGAAAGAGTGTCTGGCTTAGTACAAATCTATTTCCATTTTGCTCCATTGCCATCAGTCCACCCAAATGACATTTCTAACCTACTGTGAGTAGGTAGAAGTACTTTCACACATTGCTTCCCAGTGGGGGGAGTATGTGAATACATAGCTTTCAACTGATAAGAGTAAGTATGACCGTTAAAAATTTAAATGTACTGTGTTTCAAATAGGAGGGCAAATGCTTGCCTTAACTTAATGAAATTACTTGTAAGAATTTGTACTTGGAAGCAAAAAGGTTTTAGAAGAAAACCTGGGTCCAGATTTTACCATATTTGGCTCATACGTATGTGTGGTTTTCACAGAATTTGGAGCTTCTGAGAATAATAAGAGTTTTGTTTTTTGAACAGTGCAGAGAAATTGTATGATTATAATAGGATCAGGAATGTATTATTTTAGGGAATATGGGATAATTTCAAATTGTTAACCTGGAGAATTTTTTCTAAGAGAATCTTATTCTCTTTTTCCAGCATTACAGTGTTTTTGCCACCTTTGTACAAAAGACAATTTCACTTGTGTGACAGATGGGCTCTGCTTTGTCTCTGTCACAGAGACCACCGACAAAGTTATACACAATAGCATGTGTATAGCTGAAATTGACCTAATTCCTCGAGACAGACCATTTGTATGTGCACCGTCTTCAAAAACTGGGTCTGTTTCTACAACCTATTGCTGCAACCAGGACCATTGCAATAAAATAGAACTCCCAACAGTTGGTAAGTTGTTGTATAAGATTTTTTTTTCTTAACACTGCAAGAAAAGCTGATTCCGACCATGGTTTTAGAACTGGAAGGGATCTTAGAATCCAGTTCAGAGGCAAGAAGGAACTTGTCAGTGGTTGTAGAGTTACAGGAATAGCCAAGATCCCGACTTGTGGGTGTTGTGTTGTTTGACAATGTGGTTCCAGTAATAGACTTTCTCTGAGGTCGCTTAGGCCTAAAAGGCTAGCCTCTTAAACGCGAAATTCTGACAAAACTGCCATAGCAGTATGTCCTCAGGCACTCCCTACTTTATCCTTAGAGTGGGTTTCTTTTCCTTGTATAATCATCCAGCCTTTTAAAGTAATTGATAATGGGCAGCACTAAACAGCCCAGATACCTTCATTTTGTAATTTTAACCTTGCTTTATGATCTTTGTATATAAATCATATGATTTCTAAGTTTTTTGTCCTTCACTGTAGTTTTACATTTTACAGTGTCCAAGCAGAGCCAGGAATTTGAAGGCTTTATACACTCTTAGGATTAGTTTAATTTTCGGGTTCTGGCTTAAGATCTTAGTCTGAGCCTATCCTTCCTCAAATCCCAAATTTCTACTGTCATAATCAGAGGAATATAAAAATGCAGGAAACTTGTATTCATGCTAGCTAAATTGATGGAAGAATACCACCCTCATTCCTATGCTTGTGAGAAACTTCTTTAATTTATACTGCAGATAACTTCAGACTAGTGAAGATTGACTACCTATATGAAAAGAAGTAAGTGGAAGGACCTCTTACAAATCCCACCAAACCTTAAACTCTGAGAGGTTTGAGGTGAGGAGGTTATAGGAGCAAAGGCTCCATTCTCCTTTAGGAAGAATCACCTGGTTTCATTGCTCTGGGAGGCAGACCACAGTGCTCACTCTCCACTCAGCTGGTTCAGGCATCATGCTGACTGAAGTAGGAAGCACTGCTGTGGCCCAGCAGAAAAGGGCCAGTTCCACAGGTTACAGGGGGAGGCAGTCCTGCACTTCATTCGAGTGCTAACAGCAGAGTAAAACCAGATGTTCAGCATTACAGGGAAGCTTCCCCATGGCAAGTTTCTATCGGACTATAATTTTTCTGAGTTCTGTTCAGGGTATCTGCAATTCTAATATGAAAAAGAAAATTGTAATTCTAGAATTTCCCATTTCTATTGTTTGGGCTCGAAATATCTAAATGAGGGCTCATAAAGCCTGTGAAGAACTAACTTCATTTCTAATGCTAAACATACATAAATCCCTCATTCCCAGGTCTCTGTTAAGCAAACAGCAAAAAAATTACCAAATAAAAAGATTCAGTGGTTCAAAAGAAGTGAACTGAACTGGGTAGATGTCATGATAGGGAAGAACTTTCAGATAGTCCAACGTTCGTTTTTGGTTAAAGATCACTTTTTTAGATGAAAAGCTCAATTGATTATTTTAAAAAATGTAATACTGAAAGTGAGTAGCAGACTGGAGACCAATATTTTATAGCCTAGTGTGAGAAAAGCTTAAGGCAAGACAAGCTTGAAAAATTGTGTTACAATTCAGGGAGAAAAGATAGTGAACAAATTAAGATAGAGGATAAATCTAGGTGACCCAATATACTTACTGCAAAAATTCCAGAAAATGACATAGAAGCAGACAGAAAAGAATATGCTAGCAAAATTAATGAAATTAGTGAAAAAAAAAATACTTAACCAAATACATATAATAAAAAAATGTCAATTTTAAGAACAAAGAAAAATATTGTTTATGCATTCAGCATAAGGTAACACTGCTTATCTCTTAGAGACAGAAAAAGTTCAGATTTTCTTCTTTTTTTAAATACCGAAAGGCAGTGAAACATCATATATATTAATTGTTAACCAGAATTCTTTAGATCAGCCAAGATTTTCCATATATAAAAGCAATAGCCATCTTTAGAGAATTAAGTATTCAGTGTATAAGGACCCTTCTTCTTAAAAGAAATCACTAGAATTAGGATTGGATCATAAGAAATCAAATAAACATCCCAAGAATGGGAAAGTTACTTCCTTAGTTGAAGCTGAAGAGCAGAGGAAGAGTAAGTGGATGTTGACTGAGCTGGTGATCATGAAGGGGGGCCCAATGGGTGAAGACTGGATGATTCACTTGTTCTGGATCTGAGCCCTGTGAGCTTCTGGAATGGATCTCTGACTAACGGCAGTAGTGGCCAAGTATAGGAAATATGGAGGATTAAGAAATTGCGGTTGCCACCTTCAGTGTTTTTGCTATTGTTGATGTTTATTTCATTTGAGGCCCTTTTTCAGGAAAGCCATCATCTGGCCTTGGTCCCGTTGAACTGGCAGCTGTCATTGCTGGACCAGTCTGCTTCGTCTGCATCTCACTCATGTTGATGGTTTATATCTGCCATAACCGTACTGTGATTCACCATCGAGTGCCAAATGAAGAGGATCCTTCCTTAGATCGCCCTTTTATTTCGGAGGGCACTACATTAAAAGATTTAATTTATGATATGACGACATCAGGTTCTGGATCAGGTAAGGGAATTATTTTTCCTTTTTCCTAAGGAATCTTCTAAAAGTTAGCTTTATTATTTATTTTATTAGTTGGTTAAGCCAATTTGGCTTAGTGTGTTTAAAACTTAGTGTGACTACTAAGTTCAACCTTAAGCCCAATAGAAGTCTGACTATGACTATTTTAGCATAGAAAATTAGAATGTACTTTTACTGTTGAAATAAGTAAGTCAGCTTCCTGTTTGTATAAATTGCAAAGCTTTCTCACCTTATGGCTCCATGAGATAGAAAGAATAAGGATAATTATTTTCTTATGGATGAGGCTGAAGTTGACAAATACTCAAATGATCTGCAGCTACCCATTCTATTCAGGATTGTTTAGCAGCTTTATTTTTATACTTGAAAGCAAGCATGACAGAAAATGTGTTTGGAATTGTGAAGGTTATTTGCTTTTTTAACATATGAAATTGCTGTCTTTAGCTCAGACCTAATTTTTTATTAAACTAATGATTTTCTCACTTTAAAAAACGTCTAACCACCTTGTTATCTCATATAGTTTTATGGATCCATGGCCTCTGTGATGTTTGCTTTTCTCAGTTCCATTTGCTGATTCTTGTGGTTTCAGAAATAGACTGGCTAATTGCCAGAATCATCCCTTGAAGTAGATTTTGGTACAGTGGTGCTTCATGTTTAAACTGAAAGGGATTTATTTTTTTCACTTGCATGTGCTTTGAAAGGATGCTAAGAGAGGCAGACCCCTGTCCTCCACAATATTGTAATTTGACACTGGGCTAGGAATCAAGAGATCTAGATTCCAGTGCAAGTTTGTCTTTGGTTGGCTCTGACCTTTGTTAAACTGTGTTTCTTCTTTTGGGCTTCTGTTTCCTCATCACAAATATGGAACAGATACTGAGATATACTGTCTTTTGAAAAATATAAATCAACTTCAAAGAAAGCCCTGTTTCATAGATAAAATGAAGATTTGAAAATATGTATATTTGAAAATATACATAATGAAAATCTCACTAGGGGCACCTGGGTGGCTCAGTGGGTTAAAGCCTCTGCCTTCGGCTCAGGTCATGATGCCAAGGGTCCTGGGATTGAGCCCCGCATCGGGCTCTCTGCTCAGTGGGGAGCCTGCTTCCCCCTCTCTCTCTGCCTGCCTCTCTGCCTACTTGTGATCTCTGACTGTCAAATAAATAAGTAAAATTTAAAAAAGAAAGAAAATCTCACTAATTTTATAATTATATATTATAATTTTATAATTAAGTGACTAAACGAACATTAAAGCAGAAGTTGTGACTGGGGGGGAGAATATGAGTAAAGCATGAAATCACATACAGTACTACAAAAGTTCATGCAATGACAAATGTCTGTTTATTTTAAGGAAATGAATATATATTGATTTATATGCATATCTTTTGAGTCATAAAAGTATGAAGAAACTGACTTCTTGGTCTGAAGTCGTCTGTTGGCCATGTATGTTCAGTAAGTGACTTCTGTCCATGGCACTGGACAAACACAGGCTTGCCACTGGAACCTAGGTCCCTCAAGACAGCCTTTAAGGATCCCTGAGACCATAATGAGCAGGGAGGCAGCAAGAATTTGGATTGAGATGGAACAGCCTTGGCACTGAAGATGTGACAGTCTTTGGGCCAGAGTGGTAGAGGAGAGGAGAGAGCTTGTTTTAGGGTTTCCCTGGAGTTTCCAGTTGATTCTGAGTTAATGTAAAGCATTACCAAAGGAGATCTGGCTCATTCTAGAAGTCATCCTAGATCAAAAAACTATGATAAACAAAGACCAAAGTCCCAGAAAATCAGGCTGTCTAAAGCTCATTTGGAATTAATCCCTCGTTGCCAGACTTATACCCAGAGAAATCACAGGTGCTTATGCCACTTGGCACGGTAGTGCTGTATCAGGCCTCCGGGGCAATCAGCCTACCTAAAGGATTAGAAGAAATTGCTTTCTGGATGGCAGCTGATTTCTGAATAAGAATACATTTATTTACTTTTCAGGATGCAGACATGAAGTCAAGAATGAAATCACTCTTTTTCCATTTTACCTGTATTTTTAGATACATCAGGAACCACAGCTCTGTTGTCTGAGAGTTTCTCTCTTTCCTTTTATGCCTTACTCTGCAAAAACTTGTCTACATTGTTTGCTAGCTCTATGGCTTCGGGCAGTTAGCTGATGTCTCATGCCCAAGTTATTTTATCTTTAAAATGAAAGTAAAGAACCCTGCCCTGTACACGTCATTGGATTGTTGTGAGGTTCAAATGAGATAAGATGTTTTGATAAATTGTAGTTCTGTCCAAATGACAGGTGTTACACTTCTTGGAAAGATACTTGGAAGAAAAATCTGACATATGGTATTAATTTGCTGCATTGTACCAAAAAAACTTAGTTGAAGGCCTCCTTTCCCCGTCATAGTTCATTATGTGCTGAATGGCCTCCAGATTTATTGAGACAGAAGCTATCTTGTGTTGAGTGATAGCAGAAAATGCCACCTGTTTCCCTTCTATTCATTATAAAGCCTTAACGCTGTCTCATGCATGGGGACTCATGACTGTGAATCAGTACAATGGCTTTATGTATACCTTCTTTAGTTCTTTTGCTCATTGAGAAGAGGTAAAACTAAACATTTCATGTTATATTCATATGTTTATTATTCAGTGCCGTGACTTTAATGGAGGAAAGGTCTATCTCTATTTCTCAAAGACTGTATCTTTAACTTGGGAACTGTGGGCTGCTCTACGTCTGAAGCTAACCTAATCCCTGTTGTGTAAGTTTGAATCACAGGTTGTATGTGTACCCTTATTTAAGCGGCTGTTACAAGTGTGTGTGCACATGTGCCAGTGTCTGAAAGAGAGTGAGTCTCTTAGGGTCACTGCTCATTATGCTTGTTCATGCCTGTGGGCTCTCACAGCAGTGCATGCAGGTTGTTCGGGTCTTACCTCTGCTGTTCACTGCATGCAAAGCTGCACAGACCCTGTTTCCCTATGGAAGTTTTTCTCTCAAGCAGTTGTAAGGATAGAGAAGAGGAAAGCAGAGAACATAGAGATTTGAATTAGGCCTATTTATTTTTCTCTTTAGAAGAAAATTACTACTTTTTAAAAATGCTCATGTATTCATGTCAGTTATGGTAACTAAATATAGATAATATGATGAATCTTGATTTGGCTTTGAATTTTAGTTTGGGATCTAGAATCCAGTGATAATGGGGAGACAAAAACTTTCGTTGTCCTGGTAGCCTTTCTTGGCCATATCATTTACATGGGACATGAATGTGTTAGACATTTTCAGACTTCCCATGTGTAATTCCCCTTTCTTCTGTACTCCTTGCCTTTCTAACTTCCAGAGTAGCCTCCTGAAGTTAACTCTTAAGTATACTTTAAGTCTTCCCCGTTCAAAGGCTGTAAGAAAATTTTATAGATTAGTATCTATACTAAACCACATAATTAAGAATCTTCATAATATAAAAGAGCTCCTTGATTTAAATAAGGATTTTTCACAGATCTATTTTTAGCTAGCAGCCTCCTTATAAACATAAAAACAATTATTTATGATCAGACTGCTAACTGCTTTGCCAGAGGTGGGGAGGATAGAGAGCAAGGAGAGGAAAAGGACCCATTTGAGAAACTTAGAGATGAAAAGAGAAAAAACTTCTGATCACTTTAAAGACTTAACATTTCAATTAAGAAATATTTCACATCAGGAAACCAAAGACAGCACATAATTTCATGTACTACCATTGGGCTAATTTGGTCTAGCAAGGAACTCTGAATATAGATTATAAATTACACAAATTTATGTGTATAGATTGTCTGAAAGAAATAGTAGTTTGTAGAACATGGTTTATACTGGTATTTTTATTGTCAGGGTCAGTATAATAGAACACTTAACTTAGTCTATGAGGGGTATGGTATTGAGTAAATTGAAATAGTCCCATATATAGTGATACTGAAATGTTGTAGGTAGTGAAAATCCTTTTCTGTAAACAAGTAAGTGTGGCAATATTTTAAAAATACATATTTTAGAATAGGGCATGTTCAGATGGTGAAATAATGCCAGCGTCCCATCACCACGTTCAGTTACTTGGCATCATTCTTTAAGATACTAATGTTGCCTATGCAGCCAGTTCCTAGCACATAAATTACTTGTCTTGAAATGGTTTGTGTGGTAATTTTTACTGATTTTTTAAAATCAGTATGGATTGTACATACTGATTTTATGTTTGTGTTCACATACTTTTCTCCTCCCATCAATAAAACCGTTAACCAGATTCATTCTTCTAAAATAAGATTTTTAAATTGCTTCTCCTCATTCATGAACCCTTTTCAGAAGTTTTTAGTAGTTCCTGTTTTATCCATAGCTCTCATTGGTCATTTTTTTTTTAAAGATTTTATTTATTTCACAGAGAGAGAGTGCGTACACAAGCAGGGGGAGCAGCAGGCAGAGGGAGAGGGGAAGCAGGCTCCCTTCTGAACAGAGAACCCAATGTGGGGCTCGATCCCAGGATCCTGGAATCATGACCTGAGCCAAAGGCAGATGCTTAACCACTGATCCACCCAGGCACCCCTCTCAGTGGTCATCTTGAGCTCAGCATTCCGTACCCTTCATACTCTGACAGCTTTCCTCTCTTCCACTGCTTTCCCATACACATCACCTTCTGTTTAACTGAGCTGGTTCCATAAACATCCATTCATTTCATCCATTCATTTCCCTCTTCTACCTTTGCTTTAATATTCCTTCTACCTGAAAACCTTCTCTCCTCTTCTCCTGGGGTCCTATCCCTTCTGTAAAGGACAGTCAAATTCAACTTACTTTATAAAGCCTACCTGGACTCTCTAGGCAGATTCTAGATTCTTCTATTATATTTATTATCTTATTTTCATTTTATTATGAATTACTATTTTTTGCAAATGTAGTTTGTCACTCCTCAGTGAGATTGTAAGTTCCTTAAAGATAGAGCTTTTGGAGTTATTCTGTCACTCCTTAATGCCTATTTTCATTTTCAGGTTTACCATTGCTTGTTCAGAGAACAATTGCAAGAACTATTGTGTTACAAGAAAGTATTGGCAAAGGTCGATTTGGAGAAGTTTGGCGGGGAAAGTGGAGAGGAGAAGAAGTTGCTGTTAAAATATTCTCCTCTAGAGAAGAGCGCTCATGGTTCCGTGAGGCAGAGATTTATCAGACCGTAATGTTACGTCATGAAAACATCCTGGGATTTATAGCAGCAGACAATAAAGGTCAGTAACATCTGCTTCTCTTTGAGTATAATGAAATCTGCTTGAGCCTTTCTACAAATGCAGCTCCTAAACACTGTCAGATTTGATGAGAAATAAATGTTTGTCATACAGATTAAACCCATTAAGTCAAATAGAATATATAAGAAACCTTTACAAACAGGAACTTCTTAAAGACTTTCTTGACTCATGACATGCTTCTAAATCTCCAATTGTTCTATAAGATAAAAGAGCCATTTTTAAATTTAAAAGTGATGTGCTTTTGTTATTTGATTTTAGGCAGTTAGCTATTTGAGTATAGTCATAGCATAGAAAAGATAGAGTTTTATAAACTCTGGGTGCTCAAAATATTGAGGTAAGTTAGAGCCCAGAGATCTGTTTCCTTTACATTTCTTCATGACCATTAGGGCATTCTAATAGATACTAATGACCTTATCTATTAAAAATAACTTCTCAGTGTATTCTGTGTTTTAAGTTGGCAGGGGCTAAGTAGTCTTTTAAATAAACTTTTAAATCAATTCCATTAAGTAGAGAAATAGTTTCTCCAGGGCCACCATGCCCATAGGTAACCAACCGTCTAGCCACTTTCTTGCCTGTGGTACAGGTGCCTGGGGCCCTGGATGAGTTCGATGCTGCAAGAAGCACAGAAGCTATGTCAGTGGAGAGTCAGAATGAGTGCTGACGGGGGACCAGTGGTTTCACCCTGTACTTCATCTACTGTCTTGGCTCCGGCTTCTACTGTTGTGCCCATAGTTCCTGCTTTTGTAGCTTCATCAGAGACTTGTGTTAGCACTCTCATCATCCCTGCCTGCAATCAGATGCGTGCTACCACTTTCTCTTTGAGATTGGCCAGACCTATGGTCCTCTTTTTCCTCCTCTCCCTTCCCATTTTCTTCAAGTATTTATTTCTTCAGAATACTGTTTAATGATTTTCTCTTTTGCTTTCCTATATTTTTGAATTTATTATCAGTAAGCAGTTATTACTTGTTTCTTTTTTAGAGTTTATTTCTAGAAAATTTCCAATATATAGAAAAATGGAGCGAATAGAGCCTGTCACCCAGATTCAAAAGTGATTAACTCATTGCCAGTCGTATTTGATCTGATTCCACCTACTCTGCCTCTGAATTATTTGAAGCCAAAGATATGATAATACATCTTTTTATCCATAAACAACGTTTCATTTGTATCTTTAGATTAAGGAATCTTAATGCAACCTGACCACACTACTGTTAATTTTTAAAATGTCATCAGTATACAGTCAGTTTCACATTTCTGCAGTTGTGTATTCTTTTTTTAAAAAAACTGGTTATTCACTTTTAGGATGCAAAATCCACAGATGGCATTTGGTTGATATTTAATTTAAATCCCTTAAAATTGCTTTGTTCCTCTTCATTTTTTTTTTCCTTGTAGTTTCTTAAAGAACTGGATTGTTTGTCCTGTAGGGCTTATCATATTCTGGATTGTGTTGATTGAATTTCCATAGTATCTCTGAACTTGCTCCTTGTATTTAAAAACTGGTAGTTAGGATTAGAGACAATCTGAGTAATTTTATTGATTTCCTGAAAATATTATATACCTGCCTATATATTATGCACTTTATATGATATACTTGTATAAAATGTATTGTATATTATATATTATATATCGATATATGTATCACATTAGGAGCCATACAATATTTGATTCTCTCTCTCTTTTTAAAAAAATATTTTATTTATTTATTTTAGAGAGAGAGAGAGCATGAGCAGGGTGGAAGAGCAGATGGGGAGGGCAGGGAGGGAGAAAGGGGAAGGAATCTTAAGCAGACTCCTCGCTGAACGCTGAGTGCCACCTGGGGCTTGATCTCACAATCCTGAGATCCTGAGCTGAGCAGAAAAGAAGGGGTTGGATGCTTAACTGACTGAGCCTCCCAGGGGCCTCTTGATTATCTCTTTTTTGTGACTTGGGACAGTGATGAATGTGATGGATGTAGGCAGTGATGTATCAGTGGCTACTTCCAATTCAGTATTACTTAATGTAAAAACAAAAGCAGTGGTCATAGTTCGATTAAGTCCTTTGTTTTCATTTTCTTCTGCCTTTGGCACCATTTAGTTTCCCTTCTCACTCTTAAAATAGCCTTACAGACAATGATCTGTGACTGTAGATTTTCTGTGTTCATTTCTTACTTAATAGTTATGTTTGTTTTCTAAAAACTCTTTTCATTGATTTGTGTGAAGGCTCTAGGTCTGCAAACAGTAATTGCTCCCTTTAAGGACTTAGCCACATGCATAGTTTCAAACTCGACTGTGGTGGTTGCTTTTAAATCTGCCTTTTGGGGCTTAAACCTCACCCAAGCCCAACATGTTTTAGGCACGTTCCAAGTTGCAAACAGCCTGGCAGAAAATGCCCTTGCTGCTGTGCCCTGAAATTTTTTTTCCCCATTTGCTCAGGCAGCAGCTAAGCTGGTGCTGTCATCTGGTGGTCACCATGGGAACTGGCTCACCCTCTTAGGTCTTCACTACCCTCTTCTTTCTTCTTTGTCAGGGGTTAATGGACTTTGTCCGTCCTACAAACATTGTAGGATGGGCTACATCCACCCCAGTTCCCTTCTCCTTTATCTTTATCCTCCTGATTTAGTTAATTCCCCCTCAGGCAACCCTTTATATTACACAGCCTCTTACATATCCTTCTTCTGCCTCTCTTGTTAATTACCTCAGAAAATCTCTCTTTCTTTCATCTGCCTGTGTTCCTCTTTGTCAGCCTTTCAGAATTCAGTCATGATTAATAAGCATGCAGATACAAATGGTGATGCATTTATATCAGGGAAAAGAAAAGCTATACATTTGAATAGAATCAGTTTATAAAGTTTAGGAAGAATAAACTTTGTTTATATATAAAGTTTGTAAAGAACTAGTGTCCTGAGTATCTAAATTCTTTCGAAAGTACCCAGAAATCGCCTCCCGAATCTTCTGAAAATACCCTTCTTCATCTCATCTAATCAGTTACTTTCCTTGAAGTAACAGCCTTAAAATATAGAATCTATTTTATGTCAGTTGGGGTGGGTTTTTGTTGTTGCTGTTTTTTGCAACCATTAGGGAAAGGGGACAACCCATTTTAAGTTCTTATGAGTCATGCATTCTACTAAATGCTTAATTAAGGTTGTCCTGTTTTTTAAATCTTCTTAACAGTTTTGCAAAAGTAAGGTGTTCTTGCTGTGTAAAAGAAGGAGCAGAGCCTCACTTATCTGAGGTCACATAGTCAATAATAACTAGGCCCTGGATTTCACCCCAGGGCAGGATGACCCCCAAGTGTGTATCTTTTACTGAATTGTGCTGCTTCCTGGTATGTGGTTTTCTTGCTATTCCTATGCTAGATAAGCTTTTGTGGACCAGCCTAACCTAGAAGCCTAGCCAGAATCTTTACCACGATTTCCATGGGAAAACACATTTCAAATCCATGTATTAGTTTACAGACAAATATTTGGAATACATATTCCTGGTTGTTGAGGTTCAAAATCACCTTATGTAAAACTGGATTCATCCCCAGCTTTTTTTCCTCCTGACCTGTCCCAGCTTTCCCATTTGTCAATGATACCACTATTTTTATATTTTTTCTGAGCTGCAACCTTGGAATCATAATCCTCTTATCTGACTTCTTTGTGAACTGAATGTACAGTCTGTGATTAAAGCTTGCATTTCTTCATTTAAGCTCACTTTCAGTTTTGTCCTATATTATTCCATTCCTACTTACTGTGGCCACAGTGGGCTCCAGATACTTCTCATCTTCCTCATGCTCCCCTTTCCTTTCCTCCTTCTAGAAAGAACCACTGAGTACCCAACCTGAACCAAACATCTTTCTAGCCACTCAGGAGTCCCAGCTCTGCTGTCTTCTGTGTAGATTCAAAATCACCATCTTTGAACTATGATTCCTTATCTCTTAAGTGGGATTAGTTCTCCTTGCCTTATCTCAAGAATAGGGGGCTTACTCAGAGGATCTAAAAGCTATGTATGTAATAATGTGAGACAAAGTGAAAATATGAAGGAAATAACATACAGACTTAAGTACGGTCATCATGTTGCAGTCATAGAATTCAGGACTGAGTGGTAAATTTTGAATGGATAAATGGATGTTCTGCAACCCATTTGAAACATTGTTATTCTCCTCTACAGACAATGGTACATGGACTCAGCTCTGGTTGGTGTCAGATTATCATGAGCATGGATCCCTTTTTGATTATTTGAACAGATATACAGTTACTGTGGAAGGAATGATAAAACTTGCTTTGTCCACAGCAAGCGGACTTGCCCATCTCCACATGGAGATTGTTGGTACCCAAGGTAACTCAAAGTACTTATGTTATTTAAACTTGAAATTCCCATGAATCTAATGTCCATTAGAAAATGTTTGTAAGAAGTCAGCCTAAATGAAGATGTTTAAAATGAATTTTAAATTTAAAATGATTTAAAATTTTGATGAAATTATTTTATCTTTCTGTTGAAAATTTCAGGTGAAGTTAGGAATAGGGGAATTTGTTTAGAGAGTCTCTCGTAGCAACACTGATACGTGAGTTCTTAAAAGTAGCATCTGGTCTTGTGATTTTTGAAGATCTCGATTTGAGAATTCAAGTCTGACAGAATGTGTGTTTTTATGTGTAGTATCAAATGTAATATGAAACATGCTTTTTAAAAATCAGCATGCCACCACCTAATGTTATCTGGCCATCTAATAATTATATTTGACCCTGAGATAAGGAGACTGCATGAGATCATTTTATAGTTGAAAAATTATATACTAAATTTTAGTTATGAAATTGTTATGGTATGATTTTTGTGCCATGTAGGGTATCAAATGCCAATATATCTCTCTTTACTGATTATCCCCTTGCCACCTGGTGGCTCCCTCACTCCCCACATTACTACACACATGCTGTTTCACATCTTGGCCTCCCTCATCTTTGTAATCATTACTGTTGATAATAACAGTTCTGTTGCTTTAATGATTCACATGTCATATAAGTCACCCATTTTAAGTGCATAATTCAGTGGCTTTTAGTATATTCACAGAGTTGTGCATCACCATAGTCCGTTTTAGAATGTTTCATCTCTCCAAGAAGAAACACTATGCCCATAGCAGTCACTCCCCATTTCCTCCCAAACTCCTTAATCTTGAGCAACCACTAATCTATTTTCTGTCTCTTTAGATTTGCTTATTCTGAATAGTTCCTGTAAATGGAATCATATCATATGTAGTCTTCTGTGACTGGCTTCTTTCTCTTGGCATGTTTTCGGGATTCATCCATGTTATAGCATGTATCAGTAGTTCATTCCTTTTTATGGCTGAGTAGTATCTCATTGTTTGGGTATACCGCATTTGTCCATTGGTTGAAGGACACTTGGGTTGTTTCCACTTTTGGCTTTTGTGAATAATGCTGCTATGAACATTGGTGTATACTTTTTTGGTGGGTATATGTTTTTAGTTCTCTTATACAGTGGAATTGCTGGATTATACAGTCACTAATGGTTTTGAGGCACTACTAGACTATGACTCTTTTGTCCAAAGTGGCTGCAGCATTTTACATTCCTGCCAGCAGTATAGGAGGACTCCAGGATTTCCATTGTTAGTATTAAAGATTGTAAATTTTATACTGTGTATATTACAGTTGGTGGGTAAAGGAAGTGGTGTAGATGCTTGGTCCTTGGACTGAAATACCAGTCTGTGACAAGAGTTCCATAAATAATTCATAAGATATCAACAAACATCTTTAACTCCCAGTCTGAGTTGTTAGACTTATGTTTTTTGAGCACCATCTTTTGGAGCATGTTATTTTTTCTCTTTTCTTTGAAGAAATGTAATTTCAGCAACTTTTGGTATAACGATTTACTTGAGGTTGTTTAGTCATGTCAGGCATTGTGGGCAATGTGGGCTGAAATGCTGGAGTAGAGGCTTTGAGCCTAAAGGGTAGAACTGTGATTGGTATCACCTTTTAAGCAATCACATTTACTTTTTGTTTCTTTAGGGAAACCAGCCATTGCTCATAGAGATTTGAAATCCAAGAATATCTTGGTAAAGAAGAATGGAACTTGCTGTATTGCAGACTTAGGACTGGCAGTGAGACACGATTCAGCCACAGATACAATAGATATTGCTCCAAATCACAGAGTGGGAACAAAAAGGTATGCTTGTGAAGAGTGTTTAATATCTTCTGAAATCAACTTCTTTTTCATTTCCTTCTCGTTTGTATGTACATATCTTCTGAAACTCAAACCTCTACTTTATTAGATTGCCCACAGGTAGAAGATCTCATGGTCTTGCCTGCTCTGAAGCCAAGGTTACCTGACTTTTAAAGATGCCTGCTGATGAAGGTGGCCCTTCCAGAAAATATTATCATTCATTATATTAGTTATAATAGTAATGGTAGCTGATGCTTATAGGGTTCCCAATATGTGCCAATCATTTTAATATGTCATATATAATTTATATATATAATCTCAGTTAATGATTTCTTCAAATGCTATATGATAGCTAACCCAACCATTTTTTGATTTTTAGTTCCTGGAGATACACCTTTCTTTCTTCTTAGAATTTCTGCATGTACTGTATCTTAGAGTAGACTTTGCCCTGCTGTTTCCCTGATTTGACTCACCCTTTCTCAGAGGAAACCCTTTCTAGACTGAGGTGCCCTTGCCAAGGGCTCTCATAGCAGGCTGAACCTGGACCATTAAGGCACTTAGCGTATTCTAACTCTCCATTTACTGTCTGTGTATTCTGCTGGATTGCAAGCTGCTTGAGAGTAGACTTGTATTACCAGAGTCCATTATAGTGCCTAATACATAGTAGATCCTCGGTAAACATTTGTTGAATCCATGAGTTTTCTAAGGAACATGACTAGATAGATGTCATTGCCCTCATTTCACAGATGAGAAAACAGCCCCGTGGAAATTAAGTAATGGGGTCAGCCTCATACAGATGGTAACCTAAGGAGCTGAGATTTGAACCTAGGTTTTTCTGACCCAAAAGGCCTTACTCTGTGTATTGTCACAGCATGTTGCCACAGTGTATCTTCACGTTACTGCCTTGGCCTTAGGTAGAGCCAAGCTTCATTCTATCTCAGTTGTATTTATGATTTCTGGATTCAACAAGGACTTTTAGAACTCTTGACTTAGGGGTCCAGGACAGTGGTTGCTGCAGGTCTTCAGGAATCCTGATCTGTAACCTTAGTAGCATTTTTAAAACTTCAGAACCCTACACTGTGGCATCAGTAGGAGGACTGGCATTCATTTTTTATCTATTATTTTGTTCCCTGGATTATGTCCTCATTCTGCCTTCCATCCTGTTTTAGTGAGAAGACTTCTAGATTAAATTATGTGGTCCCTGCATAGTACTTGACAAAGTAGGTGGTGTATGTTAAGACATTGATAATAGTCATGATTGTTACATATGTGTCTTTCTTTTTTTTATTTTTTTTGTTTTGTTTTGTTGAAGATTTTATTTACTTATTTGACGGAGAAAGAGAGATAGCGAGAGAGGGAACACAAGCAAGGGAAGAGGGAACACAAGCGGGGGGGGAGAGGGAGAAGCAGGCTTCGCACTGAGCAGGGACCCCGATGCGGGGCTCGATCGCAGGACCCTGAGATCATGACCTGAGCCAAAGGCAGACGCTTAACCCACTGAGCAGCGCAGGCGCCCCACATATGTGTCTTCCATTGGAAACTAAGATCATAAGATAGCTAGATAGCATCAAATTGCTATTTCAGCTTTTCATGACATTTAGTTTACATCATTAATTTTCAAATCAGTTTGGATATTAAATATTTTTCTTGAGTTTAATATGATTTTGGCTATATAATATTTGTGAATGTTGATCAAAGTGTTAACACTGGGTGGTTATAATGGAATGATTTTTCACTTTGTACTTTATGAACTTTGGGAAAATTTCCATAAGAGTTATGAGTCATTTTAAAAAGTAGCAGAACCATGCTGAAAGGGGAGAAAAGTCTTAAAGTTAATACTGATTTTTAAAAAAATTTCTCAGGAGAAAAAGAAAATATATGAAACAGTTCAAGAGTAATGTGACCACCATTCCATAGAGTAAATTGCTGACTTCTTTTTTAGGTACATGGCCCCTGAAGTTCTAGATGATTCCATAAATATGAAACACTTTGAATCCTTCAAACGTGCCGACATCTATGCAATGGGCTTAGTATTCTGGGAAATAGCTCGACGATGTTCCATTGGTGGTAAATTTCTCCCCTTCCCCCAGCAGTTTGTCATGAACAGAGGCTGTTCCAGGAGAGCCTTTTTTTTTTTTTTAGTTTACTAAATGAAATCATACACATCAACAGTCTAAAATTATGTTCACCAGGTGATCACTGAGAGTGCCAAAGAAAATAAAGGAGATAAACCTGCAGTAAGAGGAAATGCAATGACACAATTCTAGTATATTCTTTTATTCTTTCCATTTGAATCTTGGGAAGCATCAGAAACCAAGCCCTTGTTATCTTGGAATATAGTTATTTAGAATGGAGAGGCCACCCAGGAGGCTGTTTCTAGCATGTACCTGGGTCAAATTCATTCCCTCTCCCCTCCCCTCCCCCGCCAAGAATGTGGTTATTTTGTCTAACTTCTTAGCTGAAAGTTACATATACAGAATATAGTTACATTGCCATTTCACTACTTTTTAAACTAAGTTTATTTTAAGTAAATTTTAGATTGAGAACTTTGGATATTTGCTTGAGCAATAGTTTCTCATCCTTGCGGGTTCCAGGCTTGGTTGAGATTAGGGACTCAGGTTTATGTGGCAGTAAGAGGGAGAGTGTGTCTCTGTTTTGTAGCAAAGAGGACAGATCCAAGTAGAGGTAAAGGACTTACACCTTAGATTTGCTTGTAGGATTTACATCTCCATGGTAAAGTGTCTATCCTTATACCAAGGCTGAGCACTCACAGAATAAAAACTCTCATTTCTTGCACATGAGGGTTCTTTGGGAAAAGATAATCAGGTCATTACAGCTCGTGGTTAACCATCATTAAAAGTCTTTGCTGATCCCACAGTGAGACTTAGTTTCAGGGTATGGACCCAGTACCAACTCAGAGAGATGGGCTGTTGATGGCAGGTGTCAATGAGACAGAGCAAGCTATAAGCCCTGTTCCACTTCACTAATTAATTAATGAAACCCTGAAATAGAACTCTTGGGTGTTCCTAGACAAAGAATAGTCTAGCATTATCTGAGTAAATTTTTCAAAAAATTTTTTTAACCAATATAGGAATTCATGAAGATTACCAGCTGCCTTATTATGATCTCGTACCTTCTGATCCATCAGTTGAAGAAATGAGAAAAGTTGTTTGTGAACAGAAGTTAAGGCCAAATATTCCAAACAGATGGCAGAGTTGTGAAGTGAGTATTTATTTTGGATACTACACAATTTTCCAAACTGCTTCTGCTTGGTGTGTGGAAATTTGGTACTTTTCTTTAAGGAAAATAGACACAAGAATTTTCTTTTCTTTTCTTTTTTTGTCCCCATGGCAGTTAAACCAGTGGGTGAAAAACGGAATAATTTGGTTTTCAGGTTCAGTCTCAAGGACATCAAAAGGGCTGTGTAGCATTTGTAGTGGCCATCAGTGTATCAGAATAGTATTTAAATCTTGAAGCAAAGCACTTGCATTTTCATTTTATCTATCTTTTACATGGAATGTGCAATCCAGTTACATTAAATGCATTTACCAGTATGGATGGATTTAAGTTTGCCTTTTTTTTTTTAAATAAGTGCACTCTCTAGTTCCCATCACCTATTTAACCCATTCCCCAATGTATCTCCCCTTTGGTTATCATCAGTTTGTTCTCAGTAGTTAAGAGTTTGTTTCTTGGGACGCCTGGGTGGCTCAGTTGGTTAGGCCACTGCCTTCGGCTCGGGTCTTGATCCCAGGGTCCTGGGATCGAGTCCCGCGTCGGGCTCCTTGCTCAGTGGGGAGCCTGCTTCTCTCTCTGCCTCTGCCTGCCGCTCTGCTTGCTTGTACTCTCTCTCTCTCTGACGAATGAATAAATAAAATCTTTACAAAAAAAAAAAAAAAGAGTTTGTTTCTTGGTTTGTGTCTTTCTTTCTCACTCTCACTTTTTTCTTTGCTCATTTGTTTTGTTTCTTAAATTCCACATATGAGTGAGATCATATGATATTTGTCTTTCTCTGACTTACTTCACTTAGCATTTTACCCTCTAGCTTCATGCAGGTTGTTGCCAATGGTAAGGTTTCATTCTTTTTTAATATTCCATTGTATATATACCACATCTTCTTTATCCATTCTTCTATCTATAGACACAGCTGCTTCCATAGTTTGGCGATTGTAAAATAATGCTGCAACAAACATAGGTACAAAAAACTCGATGTTTTTTGTATTTGGTGGAGGCGGGGGTAAATACCCAGTAGTGTGATTCCTGGATCATAGGGTATTTCTCTTCTTAATTTTTTGAGGAGCCTCCATACTGTCTTCCACAATGGCTGCACCAGTTTGCATTACCACCAACAATACAAGAGTGTTCCTTTTTCTTCACATCCTTGACAACACTTGTTGTTTCTGTGTTTTCGATTTTAGCCATTCTGACAGGCGTGAGGTGATACCTCATTGTGGCTTGGATTTGCATTTCCCTGACGCATGATTTTGAGCATCTTTTTACGTGTCTGTTGGCCATCTAGATGTTTTCTTTGAAGAATGGTCTGTTCGTGTCTTCTGCCCATTTTTTAATTGGATTTTTTGTTTTTTTGGGTATTGAGTTGTATCAGTTCCTTACATATTTTGGATACTAACCCTCTATCGATACGTCATTTAAAAGTATCATCTCTGAGTGCCTGGATGGTGCAGTTCAGTTAAGCATCCGACTCTTGGTTTTGGCTCAGGTCATGATCTCAGGGTGGTGAGATCGAGCCCCCCATCAAGCTTTACCCTCAGTGCAGAGTCTGCCTAAGACTCTCTCTCCTTCTCCCTCTGCCCCTTCCCCAACTCTTCTCTCTCTCTCTAAAATAAATAAATTAATTTTAAAAAATCTTCTCCTATTCAGTAGGTTGCTTTTAGTTTTGTGGATTTTTTCCTTTGCTGTGCAGAAGCTTGTTATTTAAATGTAGTCCCAGTAGTTTACTTTTGCTTTTATTTTCCTTGCCTCCGGAGACATACCTAGAAAAATATTGCTGCAGCCGATGTTAGAGAAATTACTGCCTGTGTTCTCTTCTGGGATTTTTATGCTTTCAGGTCTCACATTTAGGTCTTTAATCCATTTTGAGTTTATTTTTGTGTGTGGTTTAACAAAGTGGTCCGGTTTTGCTCTTTTCCATGTGACTGACCAGTTTTCTCAACACCGTTTGTTGAAGAGACTTTTTCCCATTGTATATTCATTTTTCCTTTGTTAAAGATACGACCGTATAATCTTGGGTTCATTTCTGGGTTTTCTGTTCTATACCATTTATCTCTGTGTCTATTTTTATGCTGGTATCACCTGTTTTAATTACTACAGCTTTGTAATAGAACAGTCTGGATTTGTGATACCTCCAGTTCTGTTGTTTTGTTTTTCCAAGATTGGTTCGGCTCTTTTTGTATTTCCATACAAATTTTAGGATTGTTTTAGTTCTATGAAAAATTCTGCTAGTGTTTTGGTAGGGATTGCTTTGTATGTGTAGATTGCTTTGAGCAGTACAGACATTTTTAACAATATTTGTTCTTCTAACCCATGAGCATAGAATGTCTTTGCATTTCTTTGCATCATCTTGAACTTCTTTCAGCAGTGTTTTATGGTATAGGTCTTTTACCTCTGTGGTTAAGTTTATTCCTAGATATTTTGTTGTTTTGGGTACAATTGTGAATGGGATTGTTTTCCTAATTTCACTCTTGCTGTTTCGTTATTAGTGTATAGGAATGCAACAAGATTTCCATACATTGATTTGTATCTTGTGACTTTACTGAATTTATTTATCAGTTCCAGTAGTTTTTTTGGTGGCGTCTTTAGGGTTTCCTATGTATAGTATTATGTCTTCTGCAAATAGAAGTCACCTGCATTTTAAATGGATACGTCCTTTTATCAGGGCAGCCCAGAACAGTAGGATGGATGCTGGATGGAAATTAGGAAAACTGTATTCTAGACTAGCTTGGCCACCGTTTCAGAGTCTGACTTTGGGCAAATCATTTCAGTTTTCCAGATCCTAATGTGCCTTTTAAAAGGAGGAAGTTGGGTAAGGTGATTGAGAGGATGGTTCCGATGATTTGACATCTTACTCACCTGATTTCCTGTGTGACCATTCACCTGGAATGTGGGGAAAATGCTTTCCAGCAGTGCCTGAGATTCTCAACCCCAGCTCTTAACAAAAATTTTAGGAATGCTTTTGTACTTGTAAATTTAAAGAATTCATTAGATAAATTTTATTTAATCTTTATGCAGTTGCTAGCCATCACTATTATAATACTAGCAAGGCAGAGCGTTTTCCTCCAGATGTGAAGTTTTATAGCTTAAGAGGAATAAAAAGCTGGTGACTTAAGTAGTTGATTTTACATCTTAAATTAATGTAGGACTCAATAGTCAAGACATTGAGAGAGTTTCAATGAAATCAAGTATCCAGGCCCAGATAAAAATACTTCTTAGTGTGGTCAGAGAATTTGCATGTTTAACAAATGAAATTGGGCTAGATTTTGTCTTTTACAAATTTGATCTTGATATTATGGAGTTCAAACCCAAAGTATTCATGCATTCATTAAATAAGTAGAGCACATTATTAAACAGATTTCTTTTTAAGCATGAGGAAAAGTTAACAGAAAACATGAAGAGCACAAATGCAATTTGCAGTTACTGTCACAGCGTGCTGAATTAATGCTATTGCTGTCATTTTTGTTTTTTCTCTATTTGGTTAGTTTTCTATTTCACTTTACAGTAAGTCAGTCTTTCACTTTTCTGTGGTTTATAAATCACCTCTCAATAGTTGAAATACATTAAGAACATGAAACCGGTAGAATAACTGAGGAAGTATCTCCCAGAACCTTCTGATCCTTTCCAGTCAGGAACTATAGCTCCCTAGGCCAGCTGTGCACTTTTCATCTTGGAATATCCCTCACCTTTTGTCCTGGGATTCCCTTTGTTTCTGTTACAGTGAATCTTCCTTCCTGGACCCCAGTGACTTCCTGTCTCTTGGTGTATTCAGCTTCCCCCATCTTTTAAGTCCCTGCTCAGATGTTACCTTGTTAGTAGACATAATACCCATTTGAAATATCACCTTCTTTCCCTGGCATATTTTATCTCCTTCCCTAAATGATGTTTCTCCTTAACACTTACCACTGACTGTCCGTGTTTCTCACTTATTAATGAGATGCTTCGGCTCCCTAGAATGTGAGCTTTACAAGGGTAGGGATATTTTGTCTGTTCTTTTTTGTATCCACAGTACCCAAGATGGTATCTGATAAATGGTAGGCTCCCCATAAATGTATAATTATGTGGAATAAGTATATGTATGTGATGGGCTTTTTGTTGTTTTTATATGGAAACCAATAGGAAGTGTCCCTAGAAGTACAAAGAAGTATTTCTTTGATTTGTTCCTTTCTGTTTTCCTCCATTCTCTTTCTTGCACTCTAGTTTTGAATGTTAGCCCCTTGAAGAGGCCTTCTAATTTTCTTATCTTTTCCCTCTTATCCATCAGGTTTTTTCCTAAAATTTCTGAGAGGTTTATCAACTTTTATCTTTTTTTTTTTTTAATCAGGTTTATTTTCCAATTCTTCTGTCACATTTGTCCAAAGTCAAACAAGAAGCAAAAAACTGTCAGTGATGACTCTGAGTATTTTCTTTATCTCTTTGAGGATATTAATAATAATTTGTTGATATTTTCTTCTCTGTACAACTGTTTTGTCCAAGTTACTTTGATCTCTTTGTATCAGCTTCTGTATTCATACTGCTTTCTCCGATGTCCGATCAAACTCCTGTTCTCCTCATGTGTAAGGACAGGATGCTGGAAGCTGATGGAAACTTTGTGCATGGGAACGGACCTTATGCACTGTGACCTTTAGGGTGACCTAATTGGGTTACTTCTGTCAGTGATTGGGAGTCACTGATGTGTTGGTTTCCTCAGGTCTTTCCTCTTGGGCTCACATTTCCCAAATAAGACTCTTTCCGTCTCTTGCCTGGAGAAGTATCTACAAGTTGCTGCCCGTGTTTTGGGGAGAAAACCTATGGTCTTGTCATTTAGCGATTTGTCAGTATGGAACTTTGCCCCCATGTTCCCCAAGTCAGAAATCTGTTTTACCTCTCCGATACAACCTCTAATCTTTTGCTGGGGTTGGAGTGGGGCAGTCATCCAACTGTGTGAAGCTTGGGGAGGGGCAAGTACCTGGGATTCCAGCTCTTTTAGCTGATTGATCCTCCTGTTTTTAGCTTGAATTTCACATCAGAGGAACTCAATGCAGTTAATTCCTTGATTCTAGGGAAGTTTCTGTGAGTCAGGTTCCTTTTTTGCCTTGACAGTTCTGGATTAGGATTCAGCTTTTTCAGGTCTGCTAAGTAGGTTGGCCCTCATCCATCTGCTTTCCAGCTACTGACACCAGTACCCCTCTGATGGAAATTGGAAGTCATTTCTATTCATTTGCTATTACAAATAATGCGGAAATATAACAAAACAAAAAAATTGAACATATAATACTTGGAAATAAGATGTACAGAGTAAGGATCTTATTCAGATGAATGGAAAGCACTCATTGGCACTCATTAATTATTTTTCTTCTATTTTTTTGCAGGCCTTGAGAGTAATGGCTAAAATTATGAGAGAATGTTGGTATGCCAATGGAGCAGCAAGGCTTACGGCTTTGCGTATTAAGAAAACACTGTCACAACTCAGTCAACAGGAAGGCATCAAAATGTAGTTCTGCAGCTTTGCCTGAACTCTACTTTTCCTTCGGATCTGCTCCTGGGTTTTAATTTGGGAGGTCAATTGTTCTATCTCACTGAGAGGGAATAGAAGGATATTGCTTCCTTTTGCAACAGTGTAATAAGGTCAACGGAAACTCCCCAGGATTTCTTTGGACCCAGGGTCCTTTCTGTGCACTATGAACACTTCTTTCCCAGGACAGTTACAAAATGTTGTGTAGTCTACCTTTATTTTTTATTAACACAAAACTTGGGTTTTTGTTTTTTGTTTTTTGTTTTTTAAAGATGATTGCTGGTCTTAACTTTAGATTAACTCTGCTGTGCTGAAGATCATCTTTAAGGGTAAAGGAGCTGGATTGTTGAGTTATACGAAACATTTCTTATTTTTAAAGAAAGTGATTTATTCCTGGTTAGTACATTCTCAGAGGATTCTGAACCACTAAAGAGTTTCCTTGATTCAGACTTTGAATGTACTGTTCTATAATTTTCAGGATCTTAAAACTAACACTTATAAAACTCTTATCTTGAGTCTAAAAATGACCTCATATAGTAGTGAGGAACATAATTTATGCAATTGTATTTTGTATACTATTACTGTTCTTTCACATATTCAGAACATTACATGCCTTCAAAATGGGATTGTACTATACCAGTAAGTGCCGCTTCTGTGTCTTTCTAATGGAAATAAGTAGAATTGCTTACAGTCTGTGTGTCTTAAAAGCTGTAGTATTTTAATTCAAAAAGTTTATTTATCTGGGTAACCCAGACATTTTCTGTTTTGTTTTTTGGAAGGGTTTTTTTTGTAGTATGTCATTTGGTATTCCATTTTGAAAATGCCTTTCTTCTACCAAAATGTGCTTAAACCACTAAAGAAATGAAGTGGCATTAATTGGTAAATGTTATCATGGTCATTTTTGAATATTCTCACATCAAGTTTTTGCATCTAAATTATGTTGTCTGTAAGTATACCTTAAAAAAACCAAGTGGCACTGTAGATGCTTATAGTACTCTACTAATTTAAAACTTGTAGCATACAGACTGATTTTTCTAACAGGGAAAATTTGTCTAGCTGCTTGTGAAAAGTTGTGTGGCATTCTGTAAGCCATTTTTTTCCTTTATCTGATCAAAGACAGTGTTATTTTTTTAAGAAATGAGTTACATTTAAAATTAGGGTATGGTTAATGTTAAATAACAGGCCTTTTTTCTAGGAAGGTAAAGGTAGTTAATCATTTGAGTAGATAACAGGTGTGCAAGAGAGTCACATTTGTTATGTAGGAGTCAGTGTTCAGTGGACTTTCTGTCTTTGTAACTAAGGTTAGAGTTAGCGTGGTTCTGAGGTCTCACTACACTTTGAGGAAGGCAGCTTCTAATTCAGTCTTTCCTTCTGTGTGCAGATACTGCAACTGCTTATTTACATGGTTAGGTAATAAGTTTAGTGCACCCTTAACATTTGGGAGAGTGGTAGCTAAAGAACGTTCTGGGTATAGGTTCTCCATTTAACAGGTGTTTTCAGTCGAATTCAATGTTTAAAGCCAACTCGTCACGGTCTTCACAGTAAGTTGAAACTAGCTTATAATAACTGGTTTTTACTTCCAGTGCTTAAAGTCTTAGGGCTTTTACAGTTTTCAGAGTTCTCTTTATCACTGTGATCTTATTCTGATGGGAGAAAAACTATCATAGCAATGAGGCAAGACATTGACTTCATAGTGCTATCAATTTCCGAATGAAAGGGTCAGAATTACCTTTATAGTATTTGGTCAATAAGAGATAGTGGCCATTTACACTGACTGAGCTGCATTCTGATTATGTCTTATCTCTTAAACATAGAATAAATTTGAAAGACTATTTGGTCTTAAAGCCAAAGTAATTTTAGAATGAATGACATATGCATAGGAATTTAGTGTCAGTTTCATGTGTTTAAAAACATCATGGGGAAAATGTGCTTAGAGGTTAATATTTTGACTCCAAATTTGAGTTTTTTTCTGTAGTTACCATGATTTTGTCAAAGCAAATGAATGAGTTTGAGGGGTTTGTTTTATAATTATGTTTTATTTCCTATTTAATCTCTAGCTCTGTGATTAGGTACTTTTTTTTTTCCCCATTTCTAAGCCTGCCAGATCTGCTTTATGAAATCCAGGGGACCAATGCTAAAACTATTTTTATATAATTTTGAGAACATACCAAACGTTCTTGTCTGATCTAAAATTGAGATACATGATTTCTCACTCTCATATAAGGTAATCAACTTTTACTGAAGATATTCTTTATTAAATCAAAGATTCAGTTGTAATTTTACTCTTCTTGCCTACATGGATAAAATGTACTTTTGGTGAGTCAGGGAATTTTTTTTAAAGTTTAAAAGTTTAAAAGAGTTTAGTTCTAAATTCAGTTTACAAATTACTGCAGCAAATTCCTTTTATGGGTAATGACAGCTTGATAAACCCTGATTAATTATTATTGAAAATGAAAGTTACTTAAAAATGAAATAGATCATGATTACTATGGCTGTAACTGCAGATACGTTTGACTAGAGTATTAATTTTGTCATTTAGACACACAAGCCTTTGTTTATACTGCCCATCTTCACATGCTCACCTTTCAAAATTAAACTTGGTTTAAAATATACCTTAAGACCAATTACCTGTCCACATCCATTTTGTCAGTGCCCCTGAGGAATGGGGATGAGGGAGGTAAGACCCCATGGGGTGCGGGTATCCCCGGTCCTTCCTTCCTAACTTCAGCTTACATTTCTCTCAGCCTGCCTTCCTGCTGGCCCCTGACTCAGAGACAGATTGCCTTGCCACCACCCCAGCCATCTCCCCTCAGCAGCCTTTTGAATAGCTGTGGGACATGCTTCCATTTCCTTGAGTCACTGGATGTTGCTGGGAGGGTTCTCTAAGTTTGGAGATGGGGTGGATGATGGCCCTGCTGGCTGTTTTGTGACTTCAGCTATGGCCGAGCAGTGGAAGGCAGCAAGGTAGCAGTTATGGTGGCAGGAGTTCATTGTGCCCGAAGCAGGGGCACAGGGCGCTGTCAGAAGAGAGGAGCCTGTAGTTCTGCTGTAGTGAGAGAGCTCAAGAAGGGCCTTGAGTCCGCGCACAGTGACATGGTTAGTGACGTCAGCAATTGCACACTGCAGTTCTTATTACAAAGTGGCCACTTGGCCATTCTGCAGCTCACACGTGAGCTCCCTTCAGTTCCCCCTCTACATCTGAGAGCTGTCCCGTATAGAATATTTTCTAAAACAAGATGGCATAGTGCCAACTAAAATGCAGAACAAAATCAGTATCCTGTTGGACATGTCCTGTCAACATTTATTTTTATCCTTGCACTGAAAGAGTGATTGTAAGTCAGCTGTTTCTTTTTGTTTCTTGACTGTGGCAGTGTTCTGGCTCCAAATGATGGAGATTCCAAATAACGGTTCTGTTACAGCATGGCAGGAAATGCCAGTTCAGATATTTTTGAGATCCTAAAGAATGGGTCTGGACGTGTCATCTGTAGCTCCTTGTGTCTTCTTTGGAATGCTGGACTACCCACAGGCCCTCTCTCTAGGAGTGCTGAAATTCTAAGACTTTCTGAGGATTGTCCGTACTCTTAAACTTGTCGGCACCATTATGCAATCTTATTTGTAACTGTAGACTTTCAAGAATGTGTTAATAACATTCAGCCTGTTTCTTAAAGCTCAAAGAAAAGAACTTAATTGAATTTGTTTTTATATTTTGACAAGATTTGTGAATTGAATATCATGAACCGTGTTTTGATATCCCTTTTTCACATTGTGCCAATGGAATGGGGTGTTCGGTATTTCTTTATGTGTCAAGGAGATGCTTCAAAGTGTCAATTGCTTTAAACTTAAATTACCTCTCAAGAGACCAAGGTACATTTACCTCATTGTATATATAATGTTTAATATTTGTCAGAGCATTCTCCAGGTTTGCAGTTTTATTTCTATAAAGTATGAGTGTTATGTTGCTAAATTACTCAAATGGTACTGTATTGTTTATATTTGTACCCCAGATAACATCTTCTATAGTTTTTGTTCTCTGTATTTTATTGTATTTGTGCAAAATTCTTTTGGCTTTATCAGTGGGATTTCTGCCCTTTCAGATGTGTACAGAAAATATCCATATAAATTTTCATTTAAATTGAATGATTTTGAGAAACCTGTAAAGAGGAAAGAAAAACAAAAACTGCAGTTCCCCAGAAGTTTTTAAAGTTGTATATTGTATTTGTAGTAATATTCTGAATAAGTTGTAAATAGGAAGTAGAAGAGCGATGCTTATGTCAATTCCTAACACTACAGTAGAAAAATGGAAGCAGTGCAAATAAATGACTTTTTTTTTCCCAAGTACTAGTGGCATAATTTAAAATAAAGTGTGTATATTGGACTGAGCCATGCTGTTATGAAATGTAGTTGCTGTAGATAGACATTAGAACTTCTGGATTATTCCCCAGTACAGGTTACATGGTTGAGAAGTGCCCCAGCCCCAAGGTGCCTCCATGGGCACGGTAGCTGCTTCCCACATACGCAGGGGTGCTGACCTGTCAGTGTGCAGGATGGGACCTGCCTCCCTGTGAACTACGTTGTCTCTTGCTCAGCAAATTTGCTAAGGTTGTGTTAAAGTGAAAGTATTTTGATTCTCAAAAGTTTTGCAGTTGTTTTCAAAGGAAACTTAGAGGGTTCTCATCTTTTCCTAATTTAAGGATCTGTGAGAATTGGCATAATTTGTAAAAATAGCCTTTCCTTTTTTTTTTTTTTTTAAGATTTTATTTATTTATTTGACAGATGGAGCTCACAAGTAGGCAGAGAGAAGGAAGCAGGCTCCCTGCTGAGCAGAGAGCCCGATGCGGGGCTCGATCCCAGGACCCTGGGATCATGACCTGAGCCGAAGGCAGAGGCTTTAACCTACTGAGCCACTTGGGCGCTATACCCCCTTTTTAAAAGTAGATTTAAACAGTTAGTATGCGGGCAGTGGGTACTTGGCTCATGAGAAAACAGAGCAGAGAGTGGATGAAGAGATGTGGCCCCCAAACTCTTGACTAACCGCTGGGAGGGGTTTTGCGGACTGGCTTGTTGCTCTTGCATTACAGACTGTCACTTCAGTTCAAAGACTGGATTTAGGGATTTTCTTTTTCCTTCTCCATAGTAAAGAAGACACATCACCAGCATGTAGAGCTTTTGTCGAAACATGGAAAAAAGTGAAATTATTTTTAAAACACAGATGTAGAGAAACAGCAGAACCAGTTTCATACTGGCCTCTTCTAATTTAGAAAAAATGTTTCTACGTATGTGGTCTCACAGACATACCTTGCAACTCTGCACTGTTTGTTTTACAGTTGAGGATTTACAAAACAATGGGGCTATTCTGAAAGATGAGTAGAAAAAGTTGATGTTACAAAAGCTGACGCTCAGTCATATATGGTTCAGCCATGCATAATTTTTAAGAATTGGGAAATAAATAATACTAAATCATTATGGAAATGAAGGATTCTTTGTGAGAGCTAAAGAGAAACGGGAAAGGTAAGAAGTTTAAGATAACTATTTTCTATTAGAAGGAGTAGAATTATAAAGGAGGATTGGCAATTTAAGTATTTCAAAGGGGAAAGAATCCGTTGAGAGGATAAGAAAAATCGGAAGGAAAGGGGAATATTGGCATAGACCACTAAAAGAATGTGCACATACTGTGGTAGGCAGCACTAAAACACTTGGGATCTCAATGTTGGAGTAGATGGTGTAGAGGATGTCTGGTTCTTTGCTTAAAGGGAGGTGTGATTGAGAAACTTTGGTAATGCTAGGCATTTTTATCTATTTTAAAGATTTATTTTAGTGTGTGTGTAGGTGCGGGGAGGAGCAGAGGGACAGAATCTTTAAGCAGCCCCCGTGCTGAGCCTGAGTGGTGTTCCTGTCCTGGGGACTTCATCCACTGACCCATGAGATCACTACCTAACAAAACCAAGAGTCAGACGCTCAACCGGCTG